ACCTTCAGCTTTCTGTGCCTGGTCTGTTTTGGCATCTCCATTTTCTGCAGGGTTATTTCCATCCTTTCCAGCATCAGCTTTTCCCCTTTTCCCTTTGGGTACCTTCTCTCCCTTCTTTGCAGGGGCCTTTTTAGGCTTGGCTCTGGCTTTGGAGGAGCAGGTTTAGCAGACAACCTGGCGGATCTTCTCTGTGGCTCATCCTTCACCTTGGCTTTATCTTCTTAGCATTGCCTTCGGCCTTTCTCTTGGGCATGGTGGCGGCAGCGGGGGGGGGGAACGGGGACGTAGACGCTGAACTCAGGGATGCAGTTGCACGTGGCTTTGGTCGATCCAGGTGTCGTTCTTGCCTCCTCTTCACACTGCTCTTGTGTGGTTATTTTAAAGAGCTGTGTTGAGCTGGGGCTGGCCCAAGTGGGGGAGTACCTGTCTAGCAAGCACAAGGGCCTAAATTCAAACCCCAACTATCACACACACACACACAAAAGAGCCATCTTGAGATATGACTCACATGCTGTACAACTCACCCAGTTAGACAACAATTCAGTGCCCTTTAGCATGTTCACAGACACACACCAATACCACCACATCGACGACTGCTTTAGCCATTGGACCTATTCCTCTCCACCTCCCAGCTCTAAGCTGCCATGAATCTGCTTTCTGTCTGTTCTGGGCATTTCACAGAAATGGAACCATAAAGTAGGGCCATTCACTTAGTTTTCAGTGTTCATCCATGTTGTAGTATATGTCAGTGCTTCATTCTTTTTATGGCTGAATAATATTCCACTGTGTGGGTTAACCTCGTTTATTCAGTTGATGGACGTTTGAGTTGTTTCTATCTTTTGGCTATTGCATATTATACTGCAGTGAACATTCGAATACAAGTCTGTGTGGACATATCTTCATTTTTTCCTAGAATATGTCTAGGAGGGGAGTTGCTGGGTGGGATGGTAACTGTGTCTGAGGTCCTGCAACACTATTTCTTGAATCCTCTGTGCCCTGTTCTATTCCCAGTAGCTGTGCATGAGGGCTCAGGTTTCTGCACACCCTTGTCGACATTGCTGTTATCTGACTTTTTTATTGTAGCCAGCCTAGGCAGGGTGAAGTCTCATTTAATTTAATTTGTGCTTCCCTGATGACAAATGATGTTGAGAATGTCTTTGTGTGCTTTACTGGCCACTTGTATATCTTCTTTGGAGAAACATATACGTAAATCTTTTGCCCATTTTAAAATGAGGTCATTTGTGTGTTTTGTGTTCAGTTGTAGGAGTTCTTTATATATACTGGATATTAAACCCTCATCAGATACGTGGTTTGTGAATATTTTCATCCATCCTGTGGGTTAGTCTCTTCACTATATATTTTCTTCTTTTTCTTTCTCCTTCTTTTTTCTCTCTCTCTCACCTTTCTTCCTTCTTTTTTCTTTCTTTTGTGATAGGGCCTTGGTACGTAGCCAAGGCTAGCTTTGAATTCATCATGTAGCCAGGCTGGCCTTGAACTTCAGAACCTGAGATCTTCCTGCCGCAGCTTCTTGAGTGCTGGAATTACAGATGTTAACAACTATGCCCAGAAAATAAGTGTGGTTTTTGTTGTTGTTGTGGCACTGGGAATTGAACCCAGGGCCTCATGCATGTTAGGCAAGCTCTCTACCACTGAACTACAACCCTAACCCCTTTTTTTTCACTTTCTTTATGGTGTCCTTTAAAACACAAAATACTCCAATTTTTGATGAAGTCCAATTTTGAAAAATTGTTGCTCATGCTTTTTAATTCATATCTGAGAATCTTTTGTAAGATTCAAGGTCATGAAGATTCACCCTTATGTTTTCTTCTAGGTATTCTTTGGTTTTAGCACTTATCTTTAGGTATTTGACCCATTTCGAGTTGTTGTGCGTGATGTAAGGTAGAGGTCTAATTTCATTAGTTTGCACGTGGCTCTCCAGTTACGCCAACACCATTTGTCAAACCATCTTGACCCTTGACAAACACCGAGTGACTACAGATGTGCAGGCTTAACTTCTGAGCTCTCAAGTTCACTGTCTTAATCTACACATCTGTCTTTGTGCCAGGACCACAGCCTCTTGACTGCCGTTGCTCTGTAGTAAGTCTTGAAATCAGGAGGTCTGACTCATCCTACTTTGTTCTTTTTTTTTTTCCTAGAGTGTTTTAGCCACTTGAGGTCCCTTCCAATTCCCTATGGGTTTTAGAAGCAGCTTGTCAACTTCTGTAAAGAAACTGGGATTCTGAGTTTGCTTTGAATCTGTGGACTAGGGGATATCGCTGCTTTAAAATGTTAAGTTTCCCAGTCATGAGCACAAGATGTTTTTTCAATTCAAGCCTTCTCCAATTTCTCAGGTGTAAGTTTTATAGTTCTTTTGTTAAATGTATTCCTCAGTGCTTTGTTCATTTTGATGCTATTATAAATGGAATCCCTTCCTTCCTTCCTTCCTTCCTTCCTTCTTCCCTCCCTCCCTCCCTTCCTTCTGGCAGGGGATGGAACTCAAGGCCTCATGCATGGAATGCAAGTGCTCTACCACTGAGCTACACTCCCAGCCCCTGGAATTGTGTATTTCATGTTTGTTTTGCTCACTGTTAAGTGGATAGCAATGCAGATAATTTGGTTTGTTGGTTTTTGTATCCTGCAACCCCCCCCCAGCCCCGCCCGCAGCACGTCCAACACCCCTCCCTGTACAAATCTCTTCCTATACCTTTCTGGCACTGTGTCCCAGGAACCACCCAGGCACGTCTTTCAGAGCTGTGAGGATCAAGGACTCAGTGTGGCTGTACCAGACCAATTCACAGCCTCTATGGGACACCAAGACTTTGACAATCTCCCTGAAAACTCAGAGTTGAAAGAAAAATACTTGTGGCTAGCAATTGCTCATTTCCCTACCTGGTTCAACAACACAGAAATGAGACTAGAACCTATCAGTGAAAAACATTTATTTTATGTGTTTAAAAAGGATATTCTTAGGCCATCTCCCATGTCACTACCCATAGTGCATCCCAGTCATTTCTGGAATCTGCAGTCCCTGCTGCTTCTGGTAACAGTTGCTGTTTCATTTGGGAAGGGACAGAGACAAGGAGGTGGCAAATGTCTGCCAGAGCAGTCACAGGAGAAGCAAGAGAAAGGCTCCAGTGGATACAATTACCCACAGAGTCCTGTCTCCCACCTGTCTGCCCAGGCACCTGGTTCTCGTTCTCTTTCCGTATCCATCAGCGGTGTTTGTTTCTCTTCTTGGTGCTTTGAAACCCTCGAGATGCACCCTGGCCAAAGCAGATGGTAGAAGGAACCCTGGAACAGGAAAAAAGTCCGTATCAAATAAGGTTAAATGACAGTATAACAGCAGCCATGTGCATGTTTCTTTCATATTCTGGAATGTTCCCCATTTCTTCTCTTTGTGTGGAACATTCAGGAAGTAGACTCTGCTCTTGGGCAGCTCTCCATCTCAGGCCCATTCCTGTGGGAGATTCTCCTGGGCACCAGCACGCACTGCTCAGCTGCTGCTAGCTCTCTGTGAGAACACAGTCGCTGTCATCCAGGCCACTCCCAGGCCAAAATCCAGGCAGCGCCAAGCAGGCAGCTGAGGGACACATGTCTGTCTTTCTGCCAGTTTGGATTCTTTGGCAGTTTCTTCCCACTGTTCAAGATTTTTCCCAAAGTTACATTTGAGGTCAGTTTTAACCCAATCCTAGAGAGACAGTCTGCCAAGTTGTGACTGAAGCAAGTACAGAAGGTCCTTCCTGCCCAGTGGAGATGAGGTGAACGGGGTGGTGCCTGTGTCCTGGGCTTCAGGGTCCAAAACACAGCCAAGGGAAACCAGAATATCCAGGCTGTCCATTCCACGGAAGCTGACATTCTTACCCAGTGTCACCTTCTCAGAAAGATCATGGGCTCAGTATCAGAGCACATGCTGAGAACGATTTCAAGATGTCCACACTGACCTGTGGCTGTAGGACCGCCTACAGGGAGACGGCACAGTGGGTTCCGAGCAGACTTCCATGGCGTCCCATCATCCTCCTGGGTTCTGGCTGACAGGCCTGCCTCAGCTCCTGACACAGCTGGACTGCGGAGAGCAGAGCAGTGAGCAGCAGCTCCACATGGCTTCTGCAACCCTGGCTTCCCCTAAAAGTGAACTTTCAAGGAAGAGACTATTTTTCCTTGTGAAGACTATTTTGGCAGAGCCTAATGTTACAGTGCAATTTTCATGCTATAGGAAATGGAAGAATGCTTGTGCTAAGGCCATTCTTTACATAGTAAGTCCTATATTTTATAAACTTAAGTATAATAATTACACTTTGTCTTGTGAAAATAGTATTTTCAGGAAGGGAAAATGAGAATATAATGGAGGGAGTGAACTTGTTCAAAGTACACTGTACATATGTGTGGAATTACCACAATAAAACCCCCTCTTATTATTAATGCATACTAATTCAGAACATGATAAAACTATTTAAAAAAAAGTAGGGTTTTTTTTTTTGGTCTTGTTTTTTTTTTTTTTTAACTCAGGGCCTATACCTTGAGCCACTCCACCAGCCCTCTTCTGTGATGGGTTTTTTTTTTTCAAGATAGGGTCTTATGGATTATTTGCCTGGACTGGCTTTGAACCTCGATTCTCCTGACCTCTGCCTCCTGAGTAGCTAGGATTATAGGTGTGAACCAACGGCGCCTGGCTGAAAGTAGTGTTTTTATAGTGCCATGTTGTAAATGCCCACCACTGGTGAAGAAGAGAGTTACTAAAACTAACCACAGACTGTAGAGCAGAGTGTCATCCCTAAAACCAAGTGTCAGTCAGCACTGTGGTGTTACTCTCTTCAAAATGACCCCTTAGAAGGGGGAGTGACTTGAGACTCAGGTTCTTTTGAAGCCTCCCACTTGCAGGGGATTCTCCAGTATTTTAAACAGCAAAGTGAAAGACTCCAATCAACATAATTTTAAGACAGTTTTAAGTTTCACCTACAGGAATCATATTTAAAAGGAGACAAAGAAATAGAACACACTTTAAGAATTATTTCTGGAGGGGCTGGGATGTGGCTCAGTGTTAAGAGTGCTTGCCTAGCACATGTGAGGCTCTGGGTTCCATCCCCAGTACCAAAAGAGAAAAGACAAAAAAAAAAATTATTCCTGAAGGTACAGTCATGTGGCAATGGATGGCTTTGTTCTTCAGTTCCTAAAAGTGAACAGGAAATGACTAGAGGATCCCATGGAAAGGGACCAGAGGGGAAGGAAGGGAAGCCTGGCCTGGGACCAATCTCCAAAGGCCCTTGGGCAACTTTAGATGGCTGCCCCCTAGCCACTGTGGTAAGCTGGGGCAGATGGGGCACAACCCCAGTGGGAGCACAGAGAAAGATGGGGCCACCCTTCTTTGCCCCCTTCTTTTATCCCCCAGCCAGGTTTCCTTCCCTTCTGGCAGAAATGCACATAAAGAAATGCCAAGTTAGGCTGCATTTCAGTCTCTATGCATTCTAGCTGCTCCCAAGCCTTTCTGAGACCAAGGGTGACCACAGCTGAACTCCACACGTACCCTCTGCTTGTCTTGGGCTTATCAAACCGGAAATCTGCAGGGTAGAGGTGAAGCCTCACCATGTGATCCTTCCGGTCCTGGCTGGTCTTGAACTTCTCTGGGCAGCCTACAACCAAGCACTGGTACTACAAAGGGACACAGTGTCACCTCCAACTTGACCCCTGACCTTGGCCCCAGCTCCCACTGCTCATGTGGCCCTGCCATCACCCACCATGTCCTGCCTCTCCGCCAGGATCTGGAAGAGTGAGTCGTGCCACTCCAGGATGTGGGCCTCCAGCAAGTGGCTGGAGGGGAAGGCACGACTGCAGAGGGAGCAGGCGTTCCCGTGCATCACATGGTAGTGGTGCTGGTAGTCCTCCAGGGCGGCAAACACCTGGCAGCAGCCGGCCACGTGACAGGTGAACTCGGGCACCCTGGAAAAGGAAGCGTGTCCCACGGGAGGCCACCTCATCAGGCAGAAACTGGAGCCGACTTTCCGCCTAGATTCCCGTTAGCCTGATACAGCTCCGGAGCCTCCCTGGCAATCCCACGCCCTAGTTTTGGAAGAATTAAATTTTCGCAAGCAGACTAGGTGGAGGAGCCAGTCAAGTCCGAGTTACTGACAGCGGGAAGGGAGGTGCCAAGCGCTGGCCCTCTGGGTCGCTTGGAAGGGGTCGGAGCTCTAGGCTGCACGCGACAGCCGAGGGGCAGCGCCAGGGAGCAGAGGGGCCGAGCTGCTCACCTGGACCTCTCCGGCGCCTCGGCCACCTGCGTGAGCACGTCCTGCAGGTAGAGGTGCCGCTGCACATCCCCGTCCTAGAGGAGACAAGCGCGGTGGGCGGGGCCGCGCGTCACCTAGGCCACGCCCACCGCCCCGGCCCCCGCCCCCGGCGCCCCTCCGCCGCCAACCTCACGCACGCACCTCGAAGAACTCGTGGTCCCGAGGAAAGCGTACTGGGCGCGCCGCGAAGCGGAAGGGAGGCGCCCCGGCCGCGGGGTCCCGCTCCACCGGCAGCGGCTCGGCCGTCCCAGGAGCTCCGGCCAAGCGGGCGCTCACCGCTGGTGGCAGCAGCATCACGCTGGGCGCGGCAGCCAGTCGGCCACCGTCCGCGGGGCGGGGCCGGACGTGACGTAGACGCACTTCCTGTGTTGGGCCGGGCGGCGGTAAGTCCCGGCTGGGCCGAAGCCGTGGCGGGTGAGGAGGTCGGGAGGAACGCGGCGGTGTGCGGAGGTTTCTCCTTCCCGCGCCGCCGCCCAGCACCCGCACCCGCACCCGCTCCAGACGGTCGCCCTCCTGGAGCCGGTGGTCTCGGGAAGCTCGTGGTTCGTCCCCAACCTTGGCCCAGAGGCCCTGGCCTCGGGTGGAGTGTGCCTTGGCAGTCCCCGCCGCTGCAGGTGCGCGGGGTGCAGAGGGAGGGCTTCCTGGCTGTCCTTGCCGCGCTGGAGCCCGCATCCGCGTGGAGAGGCAGGTGTGGGAGGAACCCGCACCTAATCAAAAGGGCTGCTGAGATGTGCAGCGGAGGATGGGCACGGGGATCCTACGGAGGCTTTAACTCGCCCCTCCCCCCAGTATTTCATCCTGAGCAGGGGGCCTCTGCTGTGCATTTGAGCAATGCCAAGGGAGAGGGGGTGTTGTTTCTTTAGTAGTTAAAAAAAGGAAAGCTTTTGGTTATGAAGGTGTGTGGCCATGCCCCCAACCGGCCATTGGTAGGCCTAGAGGGAGCATCATCTCTGATGCTCTTCTTCTGTCTGTAAAAACCTTTGTGCTCTAGAGATTTCCCAAGTTGTCCAGTAACGTTTACCAAGCCAATTTGTGCGATTGACTGGAGCCCCCAAAGGCCCCTACTGCTCTGGGGACCTGCCCCTTGTTTGTTCATGAACAGAGATGACAGACGCCAGGTGAGTCTGCTCAGCCACAGACATCTGTGCTGACCGATAGGAAAGTAGCAACATCAGAAAGGCCAAGTAAGCTGTTAAAATTGATCAGACTTCTTCATAGTTGTGCTGTTCTTTGGGGATACTGGCCTTTTTGGCTGTAGGGTAGTTGTGTTTATTACTGTCTCTGGCCCCTGCTCACCCTTTCAGTCACTGTGACAACCAAAAATTGTCCCCCAGTTAGGGCAGAACAGCAGGCTCTTTGAAGGATCGATACTCATGATGTCTGAGTTTGTATTTCTACCACAAATGAAAGTACCCTGATTATAATTTTAAAGTAAGTATCTACTTAGATGATTTTTGCTCAGGAGTGGCTCTCTACCCTTCCATATCTGGTGGAGAGGCTTTGTATTGGTGGCAAATGCTTTCTTTGCTACCTAGCAGGACCAGCAGTTATAGGACAACCCTAACCCTTGGAAGCCTTATGAAATGTAGATAAAAGGCTATGTGGGAAAGTTTGGGGTTTTGTTTTCTGTTTCTGTACTCCTTCAGGGCTCCCTATGACTCATAACAAGGTAACTCAGTTGAAGATGCTGTCAGTGATTTGTCTCCAATTTTCCTTTTGTAAAGCTAACCATTTCCCACATAACATATTGACTCTTTCCAGGTGGTTGCCAGTATGTAGTAACAGTAACATTTGTTCTGGCCTCCTTAGTTACAGCACAGGCGCTTACTATGTGGCCCTTAATGGTTTTTAAGAATGATTTTATTTAATTAATCTCTTCAGCAGCTTTGGGTAGATCCATTATGCCTTCCTTTGAGTTCAGAGGAGGCTGAGCACCTGTTGATTTGAAAGTACATTTGCTGGGCACTTGAACACCAGCTCAGGCTTCTTGCTGTGCTTTCATTCTTGGACACACCTGCTTTGACCAGTGTTGGACATTCACAGACCGAGAAGCTGCTTTCCATCACACAGGTAGATGGAAAACTCTTCCCAAGTAGAGTTCCAAGGTGATGTTACTTAGTAGGTTAGCATACTGTGGGAGTGCGCACTGAGTCTCCAGTCCTTAACACTGTTGCACTTCTAGCTTATCTGAAACTGTTACCACAATGGTTCTTAACCACTTCTGGGTTACAGAGCCTTTGAGAATCTGTTGTAAGACTGTTTGTTCAGAAAATCCACAGATATAATTAAGCCTAATCCAAGGATTCTCTTATTTGTGGATCCCAAATTAATAAAATGTTTGTGTGGACCCATGAGGTTTGCTTAGGCTCATTTTTGAATCTCTAGCTAATGCCCATATGTGTGTCTCAATGCCCTTAATCAGCACTTTTGATGATAATAGCTAAATGGTCCATGCATCAGTGGGCAAGTAGAAGTTCCTTAGTGCAGTTAGCTGTTGTCCATCAGGACATTGGTATAGAAGTTCTCATGTGGTCAGCAGAGAATCATAGTATAGAAGTTCACAGGCTATATCCTCTAGGATATTGATTTAGAAGTCTCTGTGCTATGCCCGGCTGATGTCCTCTGGGGAAATCAGAATCGCTTTTCATCTCAGGTTTTTGTGTCCAGTGTGAGACCTCAGCACAGCTGGTCACAAAGACTGAGCTGCAATGAAGCCACCCAGCTCCAGGTGCAGAGAGAATGTATAGAAATCTTACCCAAAGACTACCCTTCATACATATCCAGGCCTGGGCCAGAAAAGGAAACGTCCCAGGTTCCAGGGTGCAAAAAGCACACCAAGATGAAGGTGTGAATGGAACTGCCACTGAGCAGTTCAGAGTTTAAGAACTGGGTGTGGTCTGACAGGAGGAGCTGGGCTTTAGTATCTGTGTGGGGACAGTTGCCTGGCTCTGTGCAAGCTCCCTGCATAGATCTTGGACAAAGGGCAGGACCATCCTGTTTCACATCCAGGGCCAGAAAGCTCTGTATACCAGCCTAGGGGAAAGCAACAGAGCCGCGTCCTCCTGGCCCAGGGCCAAATAAAGATGGAGTCACCAGGGTGGGAGAGCTGGGCCTGGCCAGTGTGGCTCTCTGAGCAGTAGAGTGGTCTGGAAACTGGACTGGGGCAGGACCCAGCCCTGTGGGTTGCCAGAGGGGTATAGCAGATGTGAACACAATGAGGATATTTGTCACACCTCCACAGTGCCCTGAAGGAGAAGTGGGCCTTGGGAGGGTGGGAAAGAGGCTGTGGTGGTGTGGCAGGCCTAGTCTGGGCCAGGTATGATTTGTGTTGCCAGAGACCTGAAATCAGTCACATTTGATTGTTTAAAGAATTTCTGTTGAGCATCTCTCTTTAGGAGAATATCTTGTTATGTTGGTGTCTCACAGTTAAAATCATGAGTGAGTTTCGGATTCACCATGATGTCAATGAGCTGCTCAGCTTGCTACGCATCCACAGTGGGGACGGGGCTGAGGTCTACATTGACTTGCTGCAGAAGAACCGGACCCCGTATGTCACAACCACTGTCTCTGCCCACAGTGCCAAGGTGGGTGCCCATTCTTGGTGTAAAGTTGGAGGTGGGGACCATCCCTGGCATCCATGAAGGCCAACAACACTTGCTGAATGCTTCCCATGGGTCTAGTATTTGCTCTGTGATTCTCCTGGCTCCAAGTGGTAGTTCCCATTACTCAGCCCATTGTGTGGATGAGTTAGTGGAGGCCCCAGGGAGACCTGGCTTTGAACCCTGACTTACGCACTTCCCCTCTTTCTCTAAGGAGGGGGTGCTTACAGATATGCAGACATTCCTGGGGAAAAGAAGGGAAGCTACTGGTATTTAACTACATTGAAATCTATTTAAAGTGTTATTTCTTTATGTAAATAAGTAATTCAAAATTACAGATTTTTTCAGTAAAAGATGAGTTTGAATTTGAAATTCTTTTTATATTTTTATTAGCATATATTAGTTGTTCAGGGGGTTTCATTGTGACATTTCAGTATTACAGTGTACCTTGGTTAGGTTCATTCCTTCCATCATTCTCCCTCATCCACCTTCCCTCTACATAAAATTCAGGTTTCAATGTCTATATTCATACATGTATATAAACTACATTAACCATATTCACTTCCTTTACCTTCTCCATTCACCCTTCCCCTCCCCCAAATCCCTCCTCTTAACTGGACCTGTTTTGCATTCCTGTACTTCATTATTTAAGTGTGTGTGTTCATTGTTCAAAGGTACATTGCCATGGTATTTCACTTGTGCATGTAACCCCCTCTATTGCTCTTCTTTACCCTTTCCCCCACTCCCTGTTATTCACTAGCTTTCAGTTGGCTTTGTTATGCCAATATTTCAATATTACTTACACTCTGTAATTCTCTTTTCCTCTCTCTCCTCCCAGACTCCTCAGACATTCCCACTATTGGAAACATGTGTATGTATGTGTATCTGCTCTCAGGCCTGTGAAGCATAAAATGAGAGAAACTGTAGTGTAGGGATGGTGAATATGACAGAACGTATATGTTAGTTTTATTTCAGAAATTTGAGATTGTTTAGCTCACCTAATATAACTATTTTGGTTTTGTGTTTAATTTTCTTGAAGATTTTTTCCCTAGGTTCTTGATTAATTTCTGTCATTAAATTACTCATATTTGTGCTTTTGAGGTTAAAATTGCAGAATTTTCTCGAACTCCTGAGGATTTTCTAAAGAAATACGATGAATTAAAGTCTAAAAATACAAGAAACCTTGACCCACTGGTGTACCTGTTGTCAAAGCTTACAGAAGACAAAGAGGTATGCATACTGCACAGGCTTCAACAGCACCCCTGCCTTGGGCATGTTTTGAACATCCTCTCGTGTGTCAGAGTTGGGCATATTCCTCATGGAGCCAGACTGGAGTGCAGGCAACACCTCTCCATGTTCACTGATGGGCGACACTGCCCCCACTAGATTGGTGATTGTCAGTTAGCTTTTCCATTGCTGTGATAAATACCTGAGAACATCGGCTTAAGAGAGAAAAGGTTTGTTTGCCTCTGGTTCATGGTTTTCTGGCTCCACTGCCTTTGGGTGAGTGGTGAGGCAGAACATGATTCATGGGGAGCAGGGAGATGCTCATCTTGGGGCAGCAAGAGGTGGGGCTCAGAGACAAGATACACCCCTCAAAATATACTCCCAATGACCTTCCTTCAACCAGGCCCTGCCTAAGAACCCATTGATGAAGGTTGCACCCTCATGAACCACTCACCTCTTAGCTTTTTTTTTTTTTTTTTTGGATACCTTACATGTGCTAGACAGGTGCTCTACTGCTTGAGCCATGTCCCCAGCCCTTTTTGCTTTTTTTCAGATAGGGTCTCACGTTTTTGCCTG